TAAGCTGAATTTAAAAATACTAACTCTTTTTTTTTTTTTTTTTTTTTGCAATGAGCTCATAGTTTCCTCTTACACATACGAAGCCAAAGTCTTTTATGTTATACCTGTTAATTCCATTGACTTCAGACAAACTGATCTGGATTCAGTGACACTAGTAGATGACAGCAACATTTAACCATTTAAAAACTGCTGATTATATTTAAAGAAATGTATGCAACACAACTAAGGATTTAATTTTACTAAATATCTGTCACAAATAAGATGCAGTTTGTGCGAGGGTTCTTGGCCAAGCAGCTGGTTCTTGTAGGTAATGGCCAAAAGAGTTTGTCTAAGCATCAAAATATCATCCCCAAGAGAAATACTGAAGTTTAAGAACTGCTTTCCATCTATAAGGTATGGTCTAAATGTAACTAAATGTAACAAGCCTAGTGCAGTTAGATCAAGACTTAAGTCCTAATACATGTTTTACATAGGCAGTAATTCCAATTATTAACAGAATTGAGAATATTTAAAACAGCAAACTAGCATATCAATCCTCTAAATTCTGCATGAAGACACACCCATGGGATCTCTATGAAGAAAACTAGCCCCAGTTATCTTCATTAGATTAGGGTTGTCATGATAGCAAAGGATATAAGAAACAAATATTCTGAGATATATCCTTGCCTCCGTGTTGATATTTTGGTTTCATGCAGTGCAGAACCCCTACAGGTATTTGACATATTACATTACTTTATTCCTATAAGAGGTCACATATACTGACAAACTCAGTTTATTAAAGAAAGCGATTGTAACAACAGGAGGTAAAATTATTAAGTCTTGTTACAACACACACACAATGCTTTTGCCATGCAGCTAGTGAAGCAAAAAGGAGTAAGGGAGGGGCTGAAAACAAACTTATCAGATGAACTGTGTGGAAAACAAACTGACCTTCTTTACATTTTTGTTTAAATCAACCAAGCTGAGCAGGAAGATGTGGTCTTTAGCTCCGATTAGCAGCCGACCCCTCTCCTCATCTAGCAGCAGGGTTCGAAAATCAAGCCCCTCCACTGAGCCCAGGAATGGGATGCAGCTGTTTGAGAGCAGCAAGTCTGTGGGAAAATGAAGAAAATCTTTATAATCAAAATGTTTACATATGACTCATCGGTGTCTTTTGTAAATATATGCACCCAGCATGGAGTTTGCCTGTGAGACAACTGCAACATATGCCACATCTTTCTGGAGTCATAAGATAGGTTTTGTTAAAATTTCAGCAACCTTTTCCTTTGCTTTAAATAGGGGAATATTTGTTTGCACCAAATGTTTGCATGATCGAAAACTTGTTAATAAATATAATAAAAAATATTAATGGAATCAAAACTTCTGGGAGGAATTGGAAATATGATGACAGAATGCTGAAAGAAATTGCTGCAATCTTTTTTCTTGCTGTAAGAAAATACGATCAAATAATGAATTATGGTTACATATGGATATCACTAATTTGGATATCAATTTAGCGAAGGATCAAGACCCATTGTGCTAGGTGCAATACAAATAATGGTGTATAAAATCCACAGGAAAATGATGCAGGAAGCAACAGGTAGATACACTGAACAAACAAGGATGGAGGATCTGTTAGGATGAGGTAACTGTAACCTTTTAACAGAATTTAGTATAAAAGAAATCCCAGTTCACCATTTGGCTAACCAATACCAGGTGCCTGTTGATTTATAGGATAACAGGCTCAGATGTGCCTCATAGGATACATTTACACAGTACGATGGACCATCATGGATATATCAATGAGATAGCTCTGGACAAGCTGATTCTAGAATTGGAAACATTATAGGTACATTTGTGCATTAAGCTAATGATCCCCCATAACAAGGAGTATATATTAGTCTGGGCTAATTTAGCTAGGCTAACATAGCTACATTGCTTCTGGGGCCCAAACTAGTTGTCTGTATTGCACTAGATTGTGGCATATAGGAAATACCCTAAAGCACAGCCCTGCAGTAGAAGGCAATCCAGAGGCATGCTCTCCCAGAAAATACATGAGGCAACATGCATACAATATGCCTCAGCCAAGCCCAGTACCTCCAGGGCTCCTGAGGGAGTTCAGTCAATATCTTCTTCTTGAAGTAGCACCAGGGTGTGCTATTCCCAGTGTGGAATCACAGAAAATTAGTGTTGGAAGGGACCTCAGAAGGACATCTAGTCTAACCGCCTGCTCAAAGCAGGGCCATCCTCAACTAGATCATCCTACCCAAAGCTTTGTCTAGCTGGGTTTTAAATACCTCCAAGGATTGACATTCCATCACCTCTCTGGGTAGCCTGTCTATTTGTCCATCCAGTTACCATGGGCAAGGCCCACCTGGCTAACTAGTAGCCCCATTTTACATGGGCTAATAGATGAATGCAACAACTAAATTCTTGAGACAACTAATGAAAAACACAGGATAGGAGTGCTGTGTGGGTCAAAGGGTAAACATGTGAAAATAAGTGTGCCTGAGGGGGACACAGAGCAGAGCTTCCCAGGCTACCCCCACCAGTACTCAAAGGCATCCAAGGAGCCAGTGGATGCTGCCCACTGGTTCTCTACCTGGAAACATGCATGGACAAGTGACAGGAAAGTGGCCCCGCAGTCTCTGGGCACCTTCCCAGCCAAAGCCTCCTTCCTGGTCAAGTACAAGGCCCACTTGGCCAGGGCTAGGAGTAGGTTGACCAGAAAGTCCCGGACTTGGCGGGGCGGGGGTGACCAAAAATAAAAAGGTGGTGGGGGAAATTCAACCAGAATCTCAGGAGGAGGTTCTGGAGGTGGAGGGGTTGCAGCCTGGTGCACTCAAGGGTAAGGTGTGCCAGGGTTTCCCTCTTCCCACTCTCTGCATAACCTGTTCCAGTGTTTACTACCCTCCTAGTAAGAAAATCCTTCCTAATAACTAACCTAAAATTCCCTTGCCACAATTTGAGACCATTGCTCCTTGTTCTATCATCTGCACCACTGAGCACAGTCTAGCTCCATCCTTTTTAGAACATCCACCCTCCCTGCCCCCCGCCCCACTTCCAGGTAGTTGAAGACTTAAATCCCCTTGCAGTCCCTTGTTCTGTAGACTAAATAAGCCCAGTTCCCTCAGCCTTTCCTCACAAGTCATATCCCTAGCTCCCTTACCATTTCTGTCACCCTCTACTGGACTCTCTCCAATTTGTCCACATCCTTTCTGTAGTGGGTGGCCCATGACCACACTCTACCAATGCAGCCCAGGATGCTGCTAGCCTTCATTGCAACAAGTACACAATGTTCATTCATATTGAGCTAATTGTCCACTGTAACCCTCAGGTCCTTTTCTGTAGAGCTGCTTCCCAGCCAGTCAGTCCCCAGCCTGTACTGAGGCATGGGGTTGTTCTGTCCTAAGTGCAGGACTTTGTACTTGTCCTTGTTGAACCTCATGATATTTCTTTTGGCCCAATCCTCCAATTTGTCTAGGTCACTCTGAATCCCAACCCTACCCTCCAATATATCTACTACTCCCCCCATCTTGGTGTCATTTGCAAACTTGCTGATGGTGCACTCTATGCCATCTTCCAGGATGCTGATGAAGACTTTGAACAAGACTGGCCCCAGGACCAACCCTGGGGCTGTCCACTTAATATTGGCTGCCAACTAGACGTCAAGCCATTGATTCTTACCCTCTGAGCCCAATGATCCACCCAGTTCTCTATCCACCTTACTGTCCATTCATCCAGCCTGTACTTCCTGAGCTTGCTTGTGAGAATGCTGTGGGAGACAGTATCAAGAGCCATTCTAAAATCAAGGTACACCACATCCACCACTCTCCTTGCATCCACAGAGCCAGTCATCTCATCATAGAAAGCAATCAGGTTGGCTAGGCATGACTTGCCCTTGGTGAATCCATGCTAACTGTTCCTAATCACCCTTTTCTCCAAGCGCTTATACATGGTTTCCTTGAGGATCTGCTCCATGATTTTTCCAGGGACTGAGGTGAGGCTGACTGGTCTGTAGTTCCCTGGATCCTCCTTTTTCTCTTTCTTATATAGGGGCAGTATGTTTGCCCTTTTCCAATCATGTGGGACCTCTCCTGATCACCATGAGTTCTCAAAGATGATGGCCAGTTGCTCTGCAATCTGAGCAGCCAACTCCCTTAGTACCCTTGGGTGCATCTCATCTGACCCCGTGGACTTGCGCATGTCCAGCTTTTCTAAATAACCCCTAACTTGTTCTTTCATCACTCTTGGCTGCCCATCTCCTCCCCAAACTGTGCAGTCCAGTACAGTAGTCTGGGAGCTGACTTTGCCTATGAAGACTGAGACAAAATATGCATTGAGCACTTCACCCTTTTCTGTATCCTCTGGCACAAGGTTGCCTCCCCCATTCAGTAAGACACCCACGCTTTCCCTGATCATCCTCTTGCTACCAACATACTTGTAGAAATCCTTTTTGTTACCTTCATGTCCCTTGTTAGCTGCAATTCCAATTATGCTTCGACTTCCTGATTTCATCCCTGCATGCCCAAGCAATGCCCTTATACATCTCCCTACTGACAGCCTGTCAGCAAGGTTGGTGAGGCTATAGCTATACCCTTTTTGTGCTCACTCCATGCAATCTAATACTCATTTTTAAATTGACTACTGTATAGATCAGCCATGGGGAAATCTGCAACCTTGCCCAAAAATGACTTTTGGTCTAGGTCTCCTCTACAAGTGTTCACATTAAGGAAGCCAGCATATATCAAAACTGCACTCACCCCATTCATCCATCCATTTTCTGCCTGGCATTTCTCACCAATACCATCCTCCTCAACAACATGGATCCATTCTCAGATTTTGAAAATGGACTTATTAAAGCAATTACTAAAGCTTTTATTAATTTATTATGATGTGAACAACATGCAATCTGACTTCCCATTCACATGACAGACAGCCTTAAAGCCCATGAATTTTGATGAAAAGGTGCTTTAACCTGTGCATAAATTATTCCACCACCAGGTGCTCTACACCAAGCCACACTCATCTGTTAAAAGAGGCATGTAAATCCTTGAATATATCTAACATGAAATTAAGACTCTTTCCAAGTCCTTCACATTGATAATATAATATATCCTTTCTTTAGATGGGTGGACTTATTCCCACCCATTTATGTAACCAACATAATGTATTTATATACCTAGCACATGACAAAAAAGTTATTATTTTTCAAATAGGAACTCTTCAATGAGTAAAACATCCCATAGGGTCTCTTGCACAAATATAAAGAGACAGAGCCTATCCTACAGGGTAAGCAAAAAATAAAATGTCCTTACTGGGGAAAAAGCGCAAAGGAAGAAAAAAATAAAGATGTTTTTACTAATCATAGTTACTCAGGATACTTTTATTACAGTTGTAAATTGGCTTTGTGTCATCTGTACTTTGGAGGTTTGTGTGTTATTGTTTGGCTCAATGTTGAACGTTGATACAAAACAATCTGAAGACAAATGGTCTTGTATCTCAGCTCCTATTCCCCTAGGTGAGGTTTCTGTTGTATTATTTTGAAAAAGATTTGATTTAAACTGGAAACTAAATAAATTGGAGCAAGAACTGCCTTCACTTATATCTTTTACAGAGCTCAAAATGTCATCAGCATGGAACAAATAAACAATATTTTAAAAGAAATGTCTGTTAACTTGGACCAAGATTACAAGAGGATAGTTATGGATGAACACGTTTTCATGACAGAGAACTATAAACAACTGAGCACAGTCCAAATTGCTCCTTAAGATATAGTTGGCTGCAATGTAGTCGCACCATTGCTATAAAATGGCTATTAATCTCACCAGTGGTAGAAACAAGACTGTGCAGCCTAAATTTCTCTGCTACCTTAGTGTAGTGCAGCTTTTGTGCCGAGGTTGAGGGACAGTTTTCCTTTCCAAGATTTATTTGTCGGCCTCTCTTTTGTGGCAGCCAGTCACCAACACTTATCGAAAAGATGCTTTTCACATATCTGTTTTTCCATGAGGTATGGACATCTGTCTACTGGGAGGCAAATGCTGTTCAAACTTTCATCATAACTCTTCTAAAAGTTATTTGTGGCAAATTGTGTGAATTACTGTAATGCCCC